ATAGCGTTATTCTTTCTATTTTATTCTATTCTATTGGAATTTCAGAAGACAGCTATATGCTTTCTATTTTATTTTATTCTACTTGAAGTTCAAATTTCGGAAGGCAGCTGTATTCTTTCTATTTTATTCTATTCTATTTGAAATTTGGAAGATGGCTATATTCTATTTGAATTTCCTATTTCAGGAAGATGGCTATATTCTTTCTATATTATTCTATTTTACTCTAATTTCGGAAGACGGCTTTATTCTTTCTATTTTATTCTATTCTATTTGAAATTAAAATTTCAGAAGGTGGCTGTATTTTTTCTATTTTATTATATTCTATTTAAAATTCAAATGTCGGAAGGCGACTTTCAAATTTCGGAAGGCGACTGTATTCTTTCTATTTTGTTCTATTCTATTTGAAATTCAGGAGACGACTATATTCTATTTGAAGTTCAAGTTTCAGAAGACAGCTATATTCTTTCTATATTATTCTATTTTATCAGAATTTTGGAAGACGACTTTATTCTTTCTATTTTATTATATTCTATTCGAATTTCAGAAGACGGCTATATTCTTTCTATTTTATTCTATTCTATTTAACATTTGAATTTCAGAAAATGGCTATATTCTATTCTATTTGAAATTCTAATTTCATAAGATGGCTATATCTATTCTATTAATTTTTTTTTTCTATTCTAGTCTATTCCTTTTCTATGTTATTTTTTTCTGTTCTACTCTATTCTTTTCTATTCTATTTTTTTTATTTTCTATTATATTCTTTTATTTTTCTTTCTATATTATTCTATTCTGTTTTATTCTATTCTATTTTATTCTGTTTTATTCTATTGTATTATTTTCTATTCTATTTAATTATCTTCTATAAAGCAGCCTAAGTAGGAATCATTATCTTATTTCACTTTTATACCTTACTGTATTTATTGCAAAATGTTTCCATTTCAAATTCAAATTCATTTAGTTTTTCAATTTGTTTTATTCAAATTTATTTCAGATTAATTTAGATTGTAATCTCCATGAGCAGGGCCCTCCTATTCCTTCTGTACTGAAATGTATTGTAATTGTACTGTCTCCCTTATATTGTAAAGCGCTGCGCAAACTGTTGGCGCTATATAAATCCTGTATAATAATAATAATTAATTGAAATTCATTACTAATGTGATTCAAAAATTCAGATACATCCGAATCTCTGAACAAATATTTTTTCCAAATTTCAATTCGTAACAAAATTAATTGCACGTGTCTATTTTTTTAGTAAAAATTGCAGATTAGCCACTCACATGAAGTAGCAATAAAAGCACACATCAAGCTTAAAAGTCATCATCCATGAGGAACTGGCTTGTCTGAAGCAGATGGTGGCAACACCACCAGTTTTAGGGGATGCATCAGGTCAAAAACAGAGGACACATGACCTTTGGTATCTGATGTCACTGGCCAAAATCCCATGCTGTCAGACTGGCTCCTGAGCCCATGTATCTTCTGGATTTGAGATTTGATCAGCTGCACTTAGAAGCACCCTCTTGTGTCTCCTTTGCATTACTGCAGATACTCCTATCTGCTGAGGAGCAGCCATTGAAGCCAGCTGTTATACCTCATTTGGCATTGTGAACTATTCAGCTTGGACATCATCACTATAGAACCTACTGGATTGACTCTTTGCGCTATAATGGATTTTTATATATGTAAAGTGCAGCGCTTGATAAAGTGACAAATGATTAGTGAAAAAAGACAGTGAAAAATGTGTCATACAAAAAATAGTCCATCCAAAAATTCAAATAAAAAGTCCCCAGAGGCTGTGATGAAACAAAGGAAATCCAAGGACAGTTGTTGTGTCACCAACCACTCATACAAAAGGCTTATCAGAAAGGCATGACCCCCTTTGTTAAGATTGGTCAATCAGGCTTTGTTGTGAACAACCCAGAAAGCCGGACAATTGGATCCTCCTCCAGATCACCAAGAGAAACAAGTAAAGATCTTCCAAACAATGGACCTTAAATAGGGTAACTACACCGCTCCGGATAAGGTTCAGACTCGTGGTAAGAAATATGTAAAAAAAGAGTACTCCACATAGTAAAACCATTAAGACAACATTTATTTGAAGTATTGTTGCACCCACATAAAAGCGAACATCATTGAGCTTGGTAGGCAAAAAATCCAAAATTTTCCAGTTTTCAAAATGGCCACCGGCCAGTCGCGCCTGTGCAGTAGCATGTGTGCATGGCTCTTACCTACGCATTTTGTCACAGGTAACGTCATCAGGGTCCTATAATGTGGTATAATGGATTTTTATCTACTGTAAAGTTAGGTTGGTCAGAACAAAAAAGGGCAACCACTTCAGCCATACTGCAGAAATATGGTCATACTTTCATTGGCTTGAATTCACAAGTGAATGTGGCACTTGTATAACTTTCAGGCTGTATTTCAATGTGCTTTACTGTTTTCAAGGAAGAAGTGGGAAGAAAAGGCAAGTAGCATCAGGTGCAGCCTAAACACGGCATGTCTCCTATATTGTGACAGGCCAGAGAAAGTCAGGTAAACCATTTGACTAAATATAGTATTTCCGTCCTGGGGAGGCACAAGAAAGACACATTAACTACATGCCGTCCAGCCACTGTACATATACGGCGGCAGGGCGGCACTCGCAGGCAAAATCACGTTTTAAAACGTGTGTTTTGTAAACAAATAGGGTACGCGCGCGAGGCGCGCCGCCGCCCTATCTGTCCCGCGGATCACCGCCGCAGATGTCAGTCGCTGGGTCACAGCCGCTCCTTAGCGGCTATGTCCCGACGATCGGCGGCAAACAGTGACAGAGAGCACAGCTGCAGTAGCTGTGCTGTCTGTCACTTCCCTGTCAGCTCGAGGATGAGCTGATCGAGAAAGAACAGTTTCTCTTTCTCGATCAGCCTTGTCCCATCCAGTACACACCCCCGCCCCCTAGTAAAACACTCCCCTCACTCCTATAACCCGTCCCTGCAAAATAAAGTTAACCCCTTCCTCCCCTTTGCCATTAGTACAGTGTCAGTTTTTTTGCACTGATCACTGTATTAGTGTTTTTGGGGATGTCAGTGACCCCAAGTCAGTACCCCCCAATGTCAGAATGTCCGCCGCAGTCCTGCAGTCCCGCCATAAGTCGCTGGTCGCTGCTATAAGTCCCTGATTGCCGCCATAATTCGCTGATCGCCGCCATTATTAGTTTTTTAAAAAAGACCTAAAAATCCCAGTATCTTTCCCGCCATTTGTAAACGCTATAACTTTCACGTAAACCAATTAATTTACATGTATTGGGTTTTTTTTTTAGCAAAGACATGTCGCAGAATGCATTTTGGCAGAAATTTATGAAGAGGTTGTGCCCTCGAAACGCGTTAGCCAGTTGGTCATCCAGGGTTCCATCGTATGGACTCAGATGTTGTTTGGATCATACATCTTGTTCAGTTTGACATGCCTGTGTTTTTATGTCTATTGTAAGTATGATACTTACTTTGTTTCTTCAATAAATATTTTAAATGATAATGCACTAGGTCGGTGCACCCTTTTTCTGTTTCTCCATTTGCATCCAGTGTATTTGGACCACCCCGGTCTGTTGAGGGCAGCAAGCAGTGCACATTCCAAAAAATTCCAGAACATTCCTATTGGGTCTACTGAGTCCTTTCCTAGTGCAGGAGAAAAGTGTTTGTTGTGTTGAATCCGATGGACATGTCTGGGTTTGGCGGTTACCAGGAGAACAGTACTTGCTTGATTGCATTGTGCCAAGTGTAAAGTTTAGTGGAGGGAGGCTTATGGTGTGGGGTTGTTTTTCAGGGGTTGGGCTTGGCCCCTTAGTTCCAGTTAAGGCATCAGCATACCAAGACATTTTGAACAATTTCATAAAAAGGAATTGAAAAAATTATGCTGTGCTACCCGGTCACATAGACCCCTAAACAATAATAAATCAAGGTGAAATAGGTGCAAATAAAAATCTAAATTAATTGTAAATAACTGGTGATAAATTGAGTACCAGAAAATGGTGAAAAGATACAATGATACAAAAATGTATAAATTAATCATGAAAATTGATCATATTCCAAATGTAGAAAATATAAATATAACAGTGATAATAAACAAGTAATAAAAATATTATAAAAATGAATTACTCAAAAAACAAAAAACACCCAATGTGAACAGAGTGACAGTATGGATAAATAAATAACAATGAATCGATAAATTACATGAAAAACATTATTGCATAAAATTAACATGAATAAATATGCACAGTCCCAGTGAATCTGTGTATCTTCAGAGGAAACCGTGGAACATCCAGTGACCACAAAAACACACAGCCAATCCTCTACCAGCTATTGCGCGCTCACCTCCAAGTTGCAACCCGCAAGGGGTCATAGGGCTAAAAAAGGGGGGGCACTCATCTGATGATACCCCTTCGGAAATAATCAGAGCAATCCTCTAAATTGGCTATGGTAGACACTCATCAATGTACCAGCAGTAAACAGCACACAGATATGGCCAAAGCTCTCTCCTCTCCAATAGTCCACTCATGGAAATCAAAACAAAAAAACTCCCATAGTGTAGTAAGTGAACCGTTTAATAGATAGAAACAGCAAATTGACTACTCACATGTAAAAAAAACAGGTCCACAGACCTATACAGGAATGGAAAAACTGCAATGGCAGAAAAGGTGTACAGCACTACGGTGTACCAAGATGGTGGCTGCTGTCCGTAGCAGAAATGACGTCACCATGCTTCCATCCTACGCGTTACATCACGAATCATATGACTTCCTCAGGCCTCTGCAGACAGTTGGCAAGTTGCTGTTGTTTCCAGTTGCTTCCAATTTGTTATAATACCACTAACAGGTGACCGTGGAATATTTAGTAGCAAGGAAAAATTTCAAGGATGGACTTATTGCACAGGTGGCAACCTATCACGGTACCACGCTTGAATTCACTGAGCTCCTGAGAGCGACCTATTCTTTCACAAATGTTTGTAGAAGCAGTCTGCATGCCTATGTGCTTGATTTTATACACCTATGACCATGGAGGTGATTGGAACACCTGAATCCAATGATTTGGAGGGGTGTCCCAATACTTTTGGCAATATAGTGTATATTTGAATGAAAGACAGGCACTTAGGCACTTTTATATGCTTCACTTTATCTATTGTCCTTCAGCTTTTTACATACATCTGCTTAATTTCTGCTCATCCCAAAGGTTCTTTGCAAAATTGGAAGAAGCCAGGGGGGATTTTTTCTTCCCACTTCTTCCTTGAAAAAAGTAAGGCACATTGAAATATAGCCCGAAAGTTACGCATCGGATGAGTGCCCCCTTTTTTAGCCCTAGGACCCCTTGCGGGTCGCAACTTGGAGGTGAGTGCGCACGCTAGCTGGTGGAGGATTGGCTGTGTGTTTTTTATGGTCACTGGTTGTTCCATTGTTTCTTCTGAAGATACACAGATTCACTGGGACTGTGCACTTTATTTATTCATATTAATTTTATGCAATAATGTTTTTCATGTGATTTATCGATTCATTGTTATTTATTTATCCATACTGTCACTCTGTTCACATTGGGCATTTTTTGTTTTTTTGAGTGATTAATTTTTATCAATTTTGTATCACTTGTTTATTATCATTGTTATATTTATATTTTCTACATTTGGAATACGATCAGTTTTCATGATTGATTTATTAATTTTTGTATCATCCTATTTATTCACCATTTTCTGGTTTACTCAATTTATCACCAGTTATTTACAATTTATTTATATTTTATTTGCACCTATTTCACCTTGATTCATTATTATTTAGGGGTCTATGTGATTGGGTAGCGCAGCAACATTTTTTCAGTTCCTATATCTGCTACTATTGGTATGATAGGCAGGTGTTAGCAGCCACCCGGTTTTGTTTGGTTTAGCATTGGCGGCGCAGGAGGAATTTATTGTTTTGAACAATCTCATTCTCCCAACTTTTTGGGGAGGGCCCCTTCCTGTTCCAACATGACTGCACACCAGGGCACAAAGCAAGGTGCATATAGACATGGATGAGTGAGTTTGGGATGGAGGAACTTGACTGGCCTGCACAGAGTCCTGACCTCAACCCAATAGAACACCTTTGGGATGAATTAGAGCGGAGACTGCGAGCCAGGCCTCCTCCCCCGACATCAGTGCCTGACCTCACAAATGCGCTTCTGGAAGAATGGTCAAACTTATCTATAGACACACTCCTAAACCTTCTGGACAGAATTCCCAGAAGAGTTGAAGCTGTTATAGCTTCAAAGGGTGGGCCAACTCAATATTGAACCCTACAGACTGGGATGCCATTAATGTTCATGTTCCAATACTTTTGGCAATATAGTGTAACAACTGTGTTAAAAGAAAAGAGGGTTAATCAATGACACTGGTTGGACCCATGGATCCAACCCATGGAGACAATGAAAAAGCCCTGACTTGAGGTGGTTATGTTTAAATGATAGGTTCCCTTAACTTTTGGCAACAAGCAAGTATATACCTTATGATGATAGGTCCACTCAACTTTCTTGGCAATAGGCAAGTATAAAAACCCCTTTTACTTCTATGACTTCTATACACCTAGAAAAATATACTTGGATTCAGCTGTTTGGAACAGGTGGTTCCTGCTTACCTTCTTTGGACAGCTACTAGCCCCTTCCCCCAATAGCTAGCACAGCTCTTTCTTTTTTGGTTGCACATGTTGTTGTTCTCAGGAATGTACCTGCAGCTTCTGCTGCTTCCAATATGGAACATTTTAAATCCTATGACATCCACAAGTGGCAAATATCCTACTCAATGTGTTGGGCAGCTGCCTGAACAAATAGGTTCCTTGGTCGTTTTTGGTCTACTGTTTCTCTGATCCACAATGCCTGCTGTTTCTGGTAATGACCCCAGGCTATTTTCTGAGTTCTGCTGCCAGCATTTTTCTGATTGTGGTACTACCTGGACTCATTCTATGCAGTAAGGTAAAAAACCTTCTGCATGCAGCCTCCCCGCAGCCCCCCTAAATACATACCTGAGCCTGATCTTGACACAGTGATGTGCACAAGAGGTAAGGTTCCTTCAGCTCTCTCATTCCTCATTAGCCCAGATACAGCAGCAAGAGCCATTGGCTGCCACTGCTGTCAATCAGAGCCAGTGACAAGGAGAGGAGGGCGGGTGTCTTGTGGACACACAGAGCAGGGCTTGGGAGCGAGCAAACAAAAATTGCCCCAAGAGCAAGTGGCTGGCTACTATGGGGGCACTTGGCTGGGGGGGGGGGGGTTGCCCAGAGCACCAGTGGGGATCCCCAGGAGAGAGGATCAAGGCTGTCCTCTGCAAAACCATTACCCAGATCAGGTAAGTATTGTATAACATGTTTGGTTTTTTCATAAAATAAAACAAGCTTTAAGATCATTTTAATGTCTTTCATTGTACAGAATAGGACATTTTACTATGAAAAGCAGTTCTTGGTTTATAACGTGTGATATAAAAAACAACAATCCAGTGCTTGGTTTTCTTAGTCTGGATTTGAAGGACGCCATAAGTAAAAAAATAGGTAAAAGCTATTATATCTGAAAACACTTTTTGGTGGGAAGGCTTGGCCAAGCTTTTGGGCAGAAACCAACAAAGGAACCGGACATGTGTGCTGGGGGCACGTGTTCTCAGCACATATGTTTTTCTTAATTGCACGCAAATGTGCGGCCGCTCGGCGTGAAGGCCCAGACGCCAGGAGGTTGCACATTTGCATGCGGCCGGTGCCAAGTGGTTAAGGCCGTATCAGAAAGGTAACAGACCAAACCCTAAGAGTTTCCACCATTGGGCACAACTGACTGGAGGGACATCTCCCTACCCACCCACAGAACCACCCACCTAGTGATTGATCCAGTCAGTCCAGCACAGTCTTCAGCAAAAACTAAACTAAACATCTGGAAAATGCATTGTGATTGTAAATAAGTGCATTGTAATAAACTATGCACTGTAAAAAAAAAAATTAAATCCACTCATCCCCTCCCAACCAGGACAGGAGAATTCCCCACCAATGCCTCTGCTGCAAAAAAATGTAACTGTACCCAGTATTTCTGTTAACAAGAAGCAATCTTTTGAACAGTTCGACCTGCCTAGAGCCAACGCAGTACTTTAACTCCAGTGTTTTCCATTTCCATTCAAATCAATTGGCATTTGCTAATATGAGAAGGCAAATGCAAAAAATAAGAATTTTGTACTTACTGCAAAGTCTATTTCTTCAGGTCCATAGAGGGACACAGGAATTTAGAAACAGTCAAGTTATACTGCCACCTTCAAGATGTTAGGACAATAGCAAACAGAAAAACTATAAACCAGCTGCTGGATAAGCCCTCCCAACCCAGCCTTAGTTTTGTGAGAAAGCAATACATACTGTAGGGCCAACAACACAAAAGTGTAAAACCTTTGCCCCTCAATGGACTTGAAGAAATACATTTTATGGAAAGCACACACATCTAAGTTTCTTTATATTCCATTGATGGACATTGGAATTCAGAAACAGTTGGGACATCCAAAAGAATTCCAGATGTGGGCTGGACAACAACCACTGATGGATCTGAAAAAAGGACAAAAAGAAGGACCAATGCAGCTGAACCAGGAAAGAAGAAATCCTCTGCTACCAACCAAAGGAAGGCCACAGTGGATTAAGCAGGACAGGAGAACTCCCCACCAAGGGCAATGGCCCCACCCAAGTGGGCACTGAGCATGCCTGGAGGCTCATGTAGAACAAAATACTCTCTATCAACATACTGCCTAACTAGGAAAAACAGACCAACCACAGGATGTAGTCAACAACAAGAATATTGGACAAGAACAGGTCCACAGAAGAAGACCAGCTGGTCTATAAATGAAAAATGGTCGAGCCTTACATTTTGCACCCTTGGAACTGGGAAGACAAGTCCCATGAATGAAGCGATGTTGCCTGGCTTGACAATTTCAGATATTGAAGGCAGTGAGAAGCCTCACAATGTCATATTCCAAAGAGACAGTCAAATGAACGGAGGAATTGGGACCAACTCCAAAGATACCATCCTGAAGTCAGTGAGACTAAATAGGGGGAGTTAGGGTGCCATAAAAGGAGCAAAAACACAATTCCTTAAGTACCAAATCTGAAATTACCATCAGGTAAGAGAGTTAAAAAAAAATCAAGAAAATACAAATCAGGTAGTTGCTGCTATGTGCACTAGATAGAGGCTAGTGGACAACCCCTAAAAAGTGCAAAACAACCTGCAATCTGCCTGTGGCAGTCCTTTTCCATGCGGTTCTTGGTGGTGGGGAGAGCAGCAATAGTGACGATAACTGGGATATCGAAAATTATGGAGAGCGGAGAGAACACTCAATCCTGACTCTAAGGGTTCTTTCATGCCGGGAATGCTATCTGTCACATTTGCTTGTGCTCTCAACCAAATCATCAAATGGCTGGTGTCACAACTGATCACATGGGCAGCACCATGTCAATTGAAGATCAAACAGAGGCTAATATGGGCACTTCCTTGGCTAAAAACGATAGGAGGGTATAGTTCTGCTTTAAATTCAAAACATTCTGTGAATAACTGTCACATTTTGCTTGTGCTGTCAACCGACGTGTCAAGCCATCAAATGTTTGGTATCATAACTGATCACATCATGGCAGTTGCAGATCAAACAGAGGCTAAGATGGCAGCTTCCTTCCTTGGCTGTAAAGGATAGGAGGGTTTAGTTCCACTTTAACTCTAAACTGATGAGCTGTCAAGGCTTTTAAGGTGTCGGCTATGGAGGTTTTTGGGTACTGTAGTTTTTTTTGTGATGTCACAAGTGCACACAATTTAAAACAGAACTAAACCCTTCTATTCTTTTCAGCCATGGAACCTGCCATCTTAGCCTCTGTGTGATCTCCAACTGCTATGGTGCTGCACATGTGATCAGTTATGACACCAGGCATTTGATGGTTTGACACTTCGGTTGAGAGCACAAGCAAAATGTGACAGTTATCATTCATGGAATACCTTGAATTTAAAGCAGAACTAAACCCTCCTATTCTTTTCAGTCAAGGAAGCTGCCATCTTAGCTTCTGTTTGATCTCCAACTGCCATGGTGCTGCATCAGTTATGACACCAGCCATTTGATGGTTTGACAGTTTGGTTGAGAGTACAAGAAAATGTGACAGTTGTCATTCATGGAAAGCCTTGAATTAATGCGGAACTAAACCCTCCTATCCTTTTCAGTCAAGGAAGCTTCCATCATAGCCTCTGTTTGATCTCCAACTGCCATGGTGCTGCACATGTGATAAGTTATGACACCAGCCATTTGATGGTTTGACAGTTTGGTTGTGAGCACAAGCAAATGTGACAGTTATCATTCATGGAAAGCCTTGAATTAAAGAGGAACTAAACCCTCCTATCCTTTTCAGCCAAGGAACCTGCCATCTTAGCCTCTGTTTGATCTCCAACTGCCATGGTGCTGCATCAGTTATGACACCAGCCATTTGATGGTTTGACAGTTTGGTTGTGAGCACAAGCAAATGTGACAGTTATCATTCATGGAAAGCCTTGAATTAAAGAGGAACTAAACCCTCCTATCCTTTTCAGCCAAAGAACCTGCCATCTTAGCCTCTGTTTGATCGCCAACTGCCATGGTGCTGCACATGTGATAAGTTATGACACCAGCCATTTGATGGCTTGACACTTTAGTTGAGAGCACAAGCAAAATGTGAGTTATCATTCACGGAATACCTTGAATTTAAAGTAGAACTAAATCCTCCTTTCCTTTTCAGCCAAGGAAGCTGCCATTTTAGCCTCTGTTTGATCTCCAACTGCCATGGTGCTGCATCAGTTATGACACCAGCCATTTGATGGTTTGACAGTTTGGTTGTGAGCACAAGCAAATGTGACAGTTATCATTCATGGAAAGCCTTGAATTAATGCGGAACTAAACCCTCCTATCCTTTTTAGTCAAGGAAGCTTCCATCGTAGCCTCTGTTTGATCGCCAACTGCCATGCACATGTGATCAGCAATGACATCAGCCATTTGTTTGCCATGGTTTGACAGTCTGGTTGAGAATACAAGCATATGTGATAAGCTACTATCACACTGATCTGCCACAAAAGCGCCTCAAACTTTTTACCACATTTTGTTGCATTTATACCACATTTTTTGCAGTGTTTTTTTAAAGGACATGTGACTTAAACCTGCACCAAAAACTCTTCTAAGAGGTGTTTTTCAGGTGTTTTCCATTGATTTCAATGGGAAGAGGCGTTTTTGGGGTGTTTTTTTTTACTCCCCAAACATGCCCCAAAGATCCTGCAAGCAGGAGTTTTTACACTGCAACGCAAGCGCAACGCCTCAGTGTGAAAACATACATTTATATACATTCACATATATAGGGGAGCGTTTTTCTTGAGCATTTCAGGTGCTTTTTTAACGCAAAAACACTTCAAAAACTCCTCAGTGTGACAGTCGCCTTACATTCCCAGCACGTGTCAGTAATGTAACTATTTTTTAAACCATTAGTCCTCATGCACACTGGGCATTTTAAAAACCCTAGTTGCATTAGCGTGCGTTTTTCCACATTTTTTTGTGTTTTTGCATTAGCATTTAGCCACGTTTTTCTGTGTTTGCATTTTTCAAAAAAAACAAAAATTGGAGGCTAAAAAAAAACCACCCCAAAAAACTGGTTTGCCGTGTTTACCATTGTTAGAGGGTTTTTTCAGCTAGAAAACTCTAGAAACCCACTAGTTCTGTTTTTTTTTTCCCCAAACAAAAAACGCCACTGCCAAAAAACGCTGATTACATGTACATGCATGGACACATAGGATAACAGACTGGGGAGTTTACTAGCTGTAGAAAAAAAAACATCAAAAGTCCAAAACAGCCACTGTAAAAACGTCCAGTGTGCATGAGGACTAACATTGATGAGTTTAGTTCCACAAAAGCTGGCCATAGATGAGTCGAAAACTGAACGTTCTATCAGAAAATGAAAATAGCTCATACGATTGTGCCATCATTTGTTTTGTTTTTCCAAAAAAAAAGCCCCAGCATGTTGGATCAGGCAGAATGAAAATCACGCATTGCAACTGGCTCACTCATGATGTGAAAAACAAATGATTTGAAGATCAACATGAATTTTAGTTCAGCTTTGGACTCATCTATGGCTGGTGTAAGTCTTCATACGTTTGGTAACCGACCACTTAAAATTGAGTGAGGACTAAGTGTCCGGTGATTATCTGTTCCTGTCCTAATTAATCTTGCTAGCTCTGGAATGTGCGCGCACTTAAAGAAACTCCCACTGACACACGTTCAGTCTGTGAAAACTTCTTCTAAATTATTGGAATGAAAAAGTGAGTTTATATATGCAAAATGATGCAAAAATCACATGAGAGCAGCATTAGCATTATATTAGTCTTTGATTGGTCCTTTTACACGAAAACAATCTCCTTTCAGAATACAGGCATGATCTCTTCCTAGGTCTTAGGTCGATGGGAGGGGTTGCTGAGCGGACATTTTTGAGCAAGGAGAACTACATAAACCAGAAGACAACAGATATACACACAACACATATATATATATTCATACAAAGCATTTAGAAATATAAAAGTAGATATGTATAGAAAAAGTTATATATTCAACAGGAAACCAAATAGGCATTTTTCCATATCCATCACAGGGCAGGGGTGTCCAAACGTTTTCAAAGAGGGCCAGATTTGATGAAGTGAACATGAATGAGGGCCGACCATTTTGCAGCAAAAAAAAATGAATGGATAAAGGAGTGACTGATACTGGTCATGACATATTTGAAATCTGTACTTGTTTCTCCCCCTAAAAACACAGCAACATGACTGTCACTGATTTCCTTCAATGCTTGAGAAGGGAGTGCACCTTTGCCTTTCATTGGCCTCGCGCATGCTCTGAAACGCGTCGCATTGCATGCTGGACATCCCTTCATCATCACGCTGACGTTGCACTCCAGGGTGGACTTCGGACGCCATCTTTGGATCTCACACATGCCGCCCGGCTCCCTGTGAACATCCCGAGTCTCCTCCAGCACTTACTACAGCGTATACATCGAGGACGCCGCCATCTCCTTCGCTTTCACCACACACGCCTAAGCCTTTGTTTTCTTTCATGTGTTTCTCATTATGTTCCTCAATAAATGTACCACATATTGCACTTAAAGGCGCTCTTCTCCTTTTTAGATATTTATTTCAGGTATTTGTATAGCGCCATCAATTTTTACGCAGTGCTTTACATAGATATTACCAAATTACCTGTGGGGCCGTATTAAACATGGGCCGCAACTGGCCCGAGGGCCAGACTTTGGACATGCCAGACTTAAGACAACCGCGTCTCTTACATGGTCCTGAACAATTGATTATTTTATTGTGTTTGCGCTAAAATCCATTTTATTACATTTTTTCCCTGAAAATATAGGTTTGATAAACAGTTCTGCAAATATCAAGCAACAAAATTTTTTTTATTTTTTTATTTTACAAGAAAATATGTAATGTTCTGGGAATTTGAAGTGATTTGATCCCCAAGCCCAGGCCAGCAACATGGGGACTCCCAGCCTGTCCTGGCAACCTTAGCCTGCAGCTGCAGTGGAGGATGCCAGCAAGCCATGTGTCCTGGGGGGGCGGGGTTTAGGGTTACTGCACAGTTTCCATAGTGACCGCGGCATCCGGAGCGCAAGGGTGAAAGGACGGCTGAGTTTCCGGTATGCGGCTCCCGGAAGTGGTGTAGGAAGAGGTGGACCGGAGAAAAGATGGCGGCCGAGGAACCTGACCGGCAGCAGTTTGACTGTGGTGACGGTGAGAAGGGAGGCTGTGTGTGAATGTATGAGGGGAGGAGGGGGCGGCCGCTGGGGCTGCTCCCCGGATTGTGGACACCTTCCGCCCGGGCAGCGTGTGAGGAGCCCCGGCCGGCTCTTTGTATGGCTGGGTGTCCTTGTATCACACAGCCCGGCTCTCCGCACTTCTCCATCAGCGTGCATTGCACGTGTGCAGGGCGGCCTGAGAGTTCAGTCAGAGTTCAGCCCTCCCTGACACCCTCATCCAGGAGGCTGTGTAATGTGGAGGTCGGGCTGCAGTGTTCTGCTAGGAGAGGCTCTGTATGTGTCTACTGCAAAAAAAGAAAAAAAGTGTGTGTGCGCTCCGTGCAGCGCATGCTCCCAGCACTAGGCGCACACATGCGCATACATAGATGGAACAGACCATTCATGTGCACAGGCTGCTGTACCTGCAAGAAAACTGCCTGACCCGTTAAAAAATGGTGCAAGCATTGTGTATGTGAAAGCACAATGTGATTTTCCAGTGCATGGGGGCGCCATCAAGAATTAGGCGCCATTCGCTCCTTTGCGTTCCGGGAATGCATGCATTTCCCAAAAACTCGCCAAAGCGCACAGCACATGGTGCCGCTGTAGCTGCAAGATGTCTCCCTATGTAGATCTGCCCCCCTGAAGCAACTGCGCATGTCACGGTTTCAGACACGATGAATTGATTCTAGAACTACTGTATCTAACAATGTACCTTTGGTGAAGTAACCCCTTCCATGCCAAAAGATCGGCGTGTCGCCGGGACACAGGATCGGCAGGATGAGTCATTTAACACTTACATGCTGACTGATATTTACGGTATACAGGCTGAATCATTTCAGGTGTACATGAAATACATGGTGTATATGCGTGTAATCAGCGGTGCAGCATAAAAGGGGTTAACGGAGGCAGCTATGTGCTACAGTTGGTGATCAGTGATCGGATCTTATGCCTAAAACCGTGACATGCGCAGTTGCTTCAGGGGGACATATCTACATAGGGGGACACATGTTGCCGCTACACCGTCTCCTAGTCTAGGTGCACAGTCTAGTCTGTGTGTGTCTGTGCAGAAGCATCTGCATAGGTACAGCAGCCTTTTTTTTTTTTACCACTTGTCCTCCAGAGGATTGACCCCCCCCCCCCCCCCCCAGCATTTTTAGCATCCACGGATGCAACAAGCTGACAATACAAGCTTACATTAACCACCTGCCCTCCAAAGGATTGCCCCCCCCCCCTTCCTGACCAGGCCATTTTTTGTGATTCGGCGCTGCGTTCCTTTAACTGACAATTGCGCGGTCATGCAGCGCTGTACATAAATGAGATTGGTGCTTTTTTTCCCCCACACAAATAGAGATTTCTTTCGGTGGTATTTAACAGGGTGGATTTGATTTAAATCAAACTGATTTAAATCACGATTTAAATCACTAGTCAGTAAGGCTTGATTTAAATCCTAGTTTTCTACATAAAGACTAATTCTTGCTGGTATAACTTTAAAATGCAAGTAGATGAAGAATTTTAGAATAACAACTTTTCATATTAGTTTTTTTATCCCCAGTTTAATAGGTTAATCATTCATATTTGGACAACTTTTCTGTTGTACTTAGGAAGGAGAAAAATAATCTAACTTAATAATAACAATTTAAATAGATTTATTCAGCTGAAACAATAACATTCCAGCATATGTTATTTGCTTAAACAAACATCCATGTTTGTTAACTAATTTGGCTAAACAAAATATATATATTTTAAGAAACTTAGACTGTCAGCCCCTTCCTCCTCACAGTTTCACTTTCTTCTTGTGCAGATCTATTCCACTCCAAAAAATCAGAAAAATATTGTTTCTATTCTATTCACTGAACTTCTTGAAACTTCGCACTGAAGGGGTTGATTCTGTATTCATAGGTTTGTAGAAGTTAGGATTAAGGTCTTTTTCTTACTCTGTTCATGTTATAACATTTTTGCTGTGAAGAAGAGGCATGTGATCTCCGCTGAGTCAAATTCAGTTTTGAGAACTGCAAAAGTAAACCAACATCTGTGATAATATCTTGTAGGCAGAGAAACTGCCCAATAATCTTACAAAAACCTCTGGAAGAGCATGACATTGTGAATGGATTCATGGAATTTATTTACCAAAAAAAATTAAACATATACAGCCTTATTCTACATAATTAAAAAAATAAATCTTTATTTCATGATGGAATAACCTTTGGATGGTAATATATTTTCCTCAAAAAGCATTTTATTTAAAAAAAATCTGATTTAAATCAAAAAAATCCGACCGACAATTTTGAAAAAAACAAAAAATTTTTTTTACTTTTTGCTATAAAACCTATTCAATAGAAAAATGTAAAAAAATCAAATTTTTTTATAAATTTAGGCCAAAATGTATTCTGCTACATGTCTTTGCTAGAAAAAAATATCAATATGTGTAAATTAATTGGTTTACGTGAAAGTTATAGCATCTACAAATGGTGGTATATATACTGGATTTTTAATTTTTTTTTTAATGCTAGTAATGGTGGCGATCAGCGACTTATAGCAGGACTGCGGCGAGCATTCTGACATTGGGGGGGAACTAACTGCTACTGACATCCCAATGACACTAATACAGTGATCAGTGCTATTAAAAAGCACTGACACTGTACTTAGGACACTGGGCAGGAAGGGGTTAACATCTGAGGCGATCAAAGCTTTAACTGTGTGCTGTGTTTTTACTAGGGAGATGTGCTGTGCAGAGATACAAAGCAGCATGTCCATGCTGACCGGAGAGACCTGTGTTGCTTACACACAGGGCTCTCCCCTTTCAGCTTTCCCCGGTACGATCACCAATGGCGGTAGGAGTAGGGCGGCACACGCCCTTTACCCAGAATGCAAATCTCTTTTATGTGTGTGTGTGTGTGTGTGTATATATGTGTGTATATATATATATATATATATATATGTATATATATATATATATATATATATATATATATATATGTATGTATGTATGTGGTTTTGCACAGCCCTGCCACCCTGTAGCAGTATTTTCTACGGGCAAGCGGTTAAATAGGCTGTTACACCTGCATGGAATAAGTCCATGACCACTTTTTTCAATGGGGGTGCCATTACATTGATATTAAAGTTAAAATGCATTCTATATATGAAGTTAAAAAAAACCCTGTGTGCTACTCCCCCCTGTTAGACAGACACCTAACAAACAATGTACTTCTGTCAAACAGAGACAGCCACACACTGATTGAAATCTGGCCAGCTCCTGATGAAACATCTGTATTTCAATATAGTGTATAGCCAGCTTAAGGGGTGAGTCTGCTGTAATGTGCTGGTAAGCTGTGAACATTTGTACATTATGGCAAGCACTGCTGTTGCTGATTGCACAGGAATTGTGTTGTAAGGATGGCACAGAGAGCATATATGTTCTCCGTTACCAGCCAGGATACTATGGGCATCATTGGAGGAACCAATGGGAAGCCATCATTTTGTGACTACCCATTTAATATTGAGTAGGTCCTTCTTTTGCAGCCAAAACATCCTTGACCTGTTGAGGCAAGGATGCCACTCTGAAGGTATGTTGTGTTATCTGGCACTGAGCTGTTGGTAGCAGATTTGACAAGTCCTGTACAGTGCCTTGAAAAATTATGCATACCCCTTGAAAATTTCCACATTTTGTCATATTATAACCAAAAACGTAAATGTATTTTATTGGGATTTTATGTGATGGATCAACACAAAGTGGCACATAATTGTGAAGTGGAAGGAAAATGATAAATGTTTTTCAAAATTTTTTACAAATATCTGAAAATTGTGGCGTGCATTCGTATTCAGCCCCCCTGATTCAATACTTTGAATAACCACCTTTGGCTGCAATTATAGCTGCAAATCTTTTTTGGGATCTCTACCAGCTTTGCACATCTAGAGAGAGACATTTTTGCCCATTCTTCTTTGCAAAATAGCTCAAGCTCTGTCAGATTGAATGGAGAGTGTCTGTGAACAGTAATTTTCAAGTCTTGCCACAGATTGTCAATTAGTTTTAGGTCTGGAATTTTGACTGGGCCATTCTAACACATGAAAATGCTTTGATCTAAACCATTCCATTGTAGCTCTGGCTGGATGTTTCGGGTGATTATCTTGCTGGAAGGTGAACCTCCGCCCCAATCTCAAGTCTTTTGCAGACTTCTTAACAGGTTTTCTTCTAAGATTGCCCTGTATTTGGCTCCATCCATCTTCCCATCCACTCTGTCCCTGTCTGTGGTGAAGAACAGCATCCCCACGACATGATGCTGCCACCATTATGTTTCATGGTGGGGATGGTGTGTTCTGGGTGAAGTGCAGTGTTAGTTTTCTGGCACACATAGCGTTTTGCTTTTAGGGCAAAAAGTTCAGTTTTAGCCTCATCTGACCAGAGCACCTTCTTCCACATGTTTGCTGTGTCCCCCACATGGCTTCTCACAGACTGCAAATGGGACTTCATATGGCTTACTTCTTGCCACTCTTCCATAAAGGCCATATTTGTGGAGTGCACAACTAATAGTTGTCGTGTGGACAGATTCTCCCACCTCAGCTGTGGATCTCTGCAGCTACTCCAGAGTTACCATGGGCCTCTTGGCTGCTTCTCTGAAGAATGCTCTCCTTGCCCGGCTTGTGAGTTTAGGCGGACGGCCAGGTCATGGTAGGTTAGCAGTTGTGCCATACTCTGTCCATTTTCAGATGTTGGATTGAACAGCACTCCATGAGATGTTCAAAGCTTGGGATATTTTTTTATAAAAATTATACTTATAAATTATTATTATCATACAGGTGGACTATATTTACTTATTAGGTGACTTCTAAAGGCAATTGGTTCCACTAGATTTTAGTTAGGGGTATCAGAGTAAAGGGGGCTGAATACAAATGCATGCCACACTTTTCAGATTTTTTTTTTTTGTAAAAAAATTTTGAAAACCGAATTTTAATTTTCCTTACACTTCACAATTATGTGCCACTTTGTGTTGGTCTATC